AATCCTGGAGAAGGCAAACACGTGCCAGAATCCTCCTGTAAATCAGACCCATTCTTTTACACATCCTTTCTATTTCAGTGGTGAATGTGACAGTTGGCCACAGTGTCACGGCTGCAGATGAACCCTCTGGTTGCCGATGCAGGGAGGAGCGGTAGCAGGAGCAGACTACAGCCTCTCACCAGCTGGCTCCCCCCTGCACATCAACCCAGGATGGAGAGGCAGCTGGTGGGGCTCAGGAGGGCATTTATACCCTGGGAGCTGCCAATCATTCTCACATGAAGATATTTTGGATATGTAGAGCACCTTATAAACCTGTTTTTAGCAGCTTTCCCGGGGCAGAAGGGTGGTGGGAGTAATATTCCCTCTTTTGCAGGTGGGAACCTGGTGTGGGATGTTGAACTGATTGACTCCAGTCCAGCACCTCAACTGCAAAGGCCCCCTTCCCTTCCGAGTTACCTACAGACCGTGCCGTGAATTTCTGGGTTTGATTTTAACTGCTCAGGATGTGAGAATTGCTGATCGTATTCCTGCCTCTTTAGATCTTCCCTTTGCCCCTCCCTGATATCTCAGCTGGTGCGGCAGCAGTGTTGCAAGCAGAGTGAATTCATGTCCTCACCTCTGCTTTCATTCTGGAAAGTCGTTAACGTGAAATTGCCAAGCAGAGAAGCTCCAGAGAGTTTAACGTGGCTACTTTATATTGCTACTAGGAGTGTCTGGAATTGAAAATAAACCTGTGCTTGCAATTCCTGACCCTTTCATCATAAATCCAAACTTCCTTACGTGTTTCTCTTTACTGAAGAAGATGACTGTATTTCTGTCTTTACAAAGGCGTGTGTGCAGCTGAGAGCCACAGATGCACAGAAGCTGGGTGATGTTTATTTGTAGGGTTTTGCTTGCTGGCATTTTTTTGCAGTTATAATCCCCAGAGGAAATAAACCAAATACGTTAAATGAAAATAGTTCTCATGTGGTGTGTGGCTTGCTGGCCTTGCTCCTGTTCTTGGGGGACGATTGTCCACATTGCAAACCACAACTCTGTGATTGCTTCTGCGGCACCCACACAACAACACGTGAGTGAACATCACGGCCTTATCTGCCCTCATACACCACTTTGCTTGTCGCAGAGGCTAGGGTGTGCTGCGATGGTCCTAGATCTCATCTGAACTGTGTCATGTAAAAGAAAGTGCCTGATTTCACTCTTCAACCTCACCCTGGTGCTTGGATCATAGAATGGTTTGGGTTGGAAGGGACCTTTCAAGATCATCCAGTCCAACCCCCTTGCCACGGACAGGGACATCTTCAACTCAGTCGGGTTGCTCAGAGCCCCGTCCAACCTCACCTTGAATGTTTCCAGGGATGAGGCATCGACCACCTCTCTGGACAACCTGTGCCAGTGTTTCACCACTCTGATCATAAAAAATTTCTTCCTTGTATCTAGTCTGAGTCTACTTTCTTTTAGTTTAAAACCATTACCCCTTGTCCTCTCACTAGAGGCCTTACTAAACAGTCTGTCCTCATCTTTCTTATAAGGATGTATCCTTCTGTAAGTAATCTCAGGGAAATAAGATTAAATAAATGGGCTTAGATTTAGTTTTGTGTCTGTATGGGGGAAAATCATGGTATCAGCCCCATTAAGGGTAGGTCTGAGTTCACCTGGAGCTGGGCCCAGTCTGATGGAGGAGGAACTAACCTGTGGCAATTAGATTAATTAAGTCTTAACAGGCTGGAGATGTGCTGCAAATCAGCCACAGGTTATTGTGCTTAATGCTAGGATCTCTGGGTCTATATCCTCTTAAGGTTTTGCTGAAGAATGAGAGTTTACTCTGGCTATGTGAGCTCTGATACACATCTACAGCAATCATACACTCTAGCTAATGTACCCTGGCTGGTGATAGAGTGTGTTACTCAGGGATCAGTGCTGTATCCTTACAGCCATGCTGATCTGCTTGGGGAGCAAGCAGAAGTAGCTTGTATTTCCCTGCAAAACAGCACAGGCACCTCCTGCCTGAGATTTGAGGTCCTAGGTTGTGTAGGAAGGCAGACCAGATGTTTGCACGAGTCCTTTCTGGTCTCCCAGTGCTTCAGCTGGAGCAGTTGATTTTGGCTGTGCTGCAGGGAGGGGAGTGAGTGGGAGGCTGTCCTACACCAAGGAGGATGCCTTGGACTGTGCCACCTCTGCTTGATTTTTATCATTTCACTGCTTGTCGGTGTGAATTCCTGTTGTTTGAGATGGAGCTTCCTACACTGCACCCTAGGTAAGACGTCTCCTGGCGCTATTAGGCTTTTCATCCTCTTGGTGGTGAAGAAAACTGTTTCCCATTTCTTGTTTTCCTTTAAAACCATGACAAAGTGAGACTTTCTTCTCTTACCCCTCTTTCTGCCATTTGTAGAAGGTTTGGGAATTTCTTGCTTTCAATCTGAAACAATTCTTCTCTCAGCCTGTCAGGCCATCAGTTCAAGTGAGACACATACACAATTTTATTATAGCCTTGAAACACCGATCACGTTAGTTTGAGAGCTTAAGAGTTCCCAGTCAAACTGGGGCTGACTTCAAGACCTGGATTCTTCTCAGATCCTACATCCATAGGATGATTCAGGTTGGAAGGGACCTCAGGAAGTCATATAGTCCAGCCTCCTGTTCAAAGCATGCTACATCTTAATGTTAGATGCTTAGGCTGAGTGAATCATCTGGAGTCCTTTTGCAATCAGCTGGCTCTATCAGAAGGTGAGCCAGTGCATTACAGGTTTGGTGGGATGGCTTGTTCTCTGACATACCTCCTTCCTCTGTTGATTATGGAGGTGGTTTAGATGACCACTATAGGCTACTTACTAAGATGTCACACGGCTAAAGCTAGGTGAGATGGATCCCACATCAGGTGATGTGTCGGGTTATGAACTGGTGAACAGAAGGCTTGTCACGCTGCATCAGATCAACACATCGCTCCTCTCATTAGTTCATCTCTGACAGTCAGTGACACATGTCTCGTTGAAAGACCTGGGTAGCCTTGCTGCTTCAAACACATTTTACTTCCCAAGTAACCAACCTGCAGTTTTTCCATCCTGACCTATGTAATGAAGCTGTATGGATTCTCATTATCCACGGAAACACTCAGCGTTTGCAAGTTGTGCTGTCAGCAGGGGTGTCCTGCCTTTCCAAAGTGTGGTCATCAGGTTGGTGGTACTGGACCTCAGACAAATTTGGCCTTTGGATCTGGGATGCAGATTTATTTTAGACTTTGCGCTAGCATTGTAGACTAGCAACATCCTGTCTACTGCTCCTGGAGGCTGTTGGTCTGATCGGTAATTGCTCTTTGAGCTAGTGTTTTAGCTGTGAAAGGGCAGTTCACAAACACTAATGACTTTTGCAGGCCAGAGCTCAGGCTAGCTGTTCTTTACTAATGGCTGTTTGAATTCCTCATAGGTTTTATGTGTTTATAAATACATTTAGGACACATTATTCTTCCATTCAGTAAAACCATCTGTAATTATTCCCTGTAATTGCTGGGTGAGGATAAAATGAATCCACTATCAGGCTTTTACTGCTTGTGAATGCAAGTAAGGAGCAGCAGATATTCTAGCGTGCTTCCAGGAAGATGTGAGCTCAGACAAAGAAAATTATCATAGTTCTTTATTACTGATATATGAAAGCTAGACAACCTTTCTGTACAATTAATTATTGCCTTTCTAGGCCTTAGTCCAGCAAAACATTTTAAGCGGATGCTTAACTTCTGTGAGTAGTCCCAGTGAAGTTAATAAAGTCTAACTGCTTTGGCAATTGTGTACTGTAGTATTTGGAGCTTCATCTTTATTTGGCTTATTTTGTGGAGATCCTCATATTGGCAACCTGTATTAGCCTCACCTACTGTCCAGGTGGTGCCTTAAGGTGGACGAGTTGTCTCTACTGTTCTACTGCTGCACTTCTGTAATTCCACGAAGCCCAAAGAAACACTCTTGGAGACAACTAGACGCTACGTGCATTTGTACGCGAGGATCCCGGTGGAGTATCTGATGACAAGCCTGTTGAGTTCAAAGGCAATAGGTGTTAGCGCTTAGGCAGCAGCATTAATGAACAGGGCCTTTTCTCTGGTTGTTAGGAGTTCATGGGTATTTCCAACAAATGCTGGAAAGCTCCCATAATAGCTGTGAAACCTTCCCTCCTCTCCAAAGAACTTCAGTGAGTTACAGTACCCCAGTAAGATGGATAAATGTGGATAATCCCCATTTCGTGGGGGAGAAATAGAGACCCAGGGGGATGAAGTACCCAGGCCAAACAGTGTGAGAGAAGGACCCAGGACTATACTATTAAGTTAATCCCAGGAATGGGGGGTGTGTGCAGTCACCATCTGTAGTGTTTAATCCTTACCATGGTTCCTACTGCAGATCTGGCCTGGGCTGACCAGCAATCTCCCAGGCAATGCCTGGAGATAACTTGGGGGACTATAATTTCCAAGGTGTAGCATGAGTGATGCTACAGGGTTTGGAGGTGGGATGGGAGTGGTTATTTAGATTTAATAGATGAGAACCTTACTATTGAGTCTCGGGACCTGAGGGCAAGCCAGAGTCTGTTTTATCTGCCAGAGCAGATTTAGCTCAGTGGTTCTTATTCTGGATCCTATGGGAATGATGTGCAAACTTTTTTTGGCAGAACTAGGTATGTTTAAGACATTTTCAGTAGACTTTGTCTTTGATTGCTAGGTCTTGACTGGTAAAACTGACTGGTAAAGCAGTAGGAAAAAGGCTTAATGTAATGTATCTTGCTGGGCTGTCATTCAAGAGAAGCAAGTTTCCAGTTCTCCTTCTGTCTGTAACTCATCATGCAACTTTGGACAAATTTTTTCCGCCTCTGTGTTTCTCCAGTCCTGCCTTTGTCATTGATTTGTCAACCTGCGTAAATTATAGGCATGTTATGCAAGGGTGTCCCTGCTTGGACGGATACTTCTCAAATGGCTAAAGAATCGATGGCTGCATTTTTTTTTACACTCTTTTTCTTTTTGTTTATAGCTGTTAACAATTGATGACAATTTCTGTGGCCTGGATATGAATGCCCCCTTGGGAGTATCATCCATGGTACGAGGGCTCCCCATTTTCACTGAGGATGGAGACAGAATGACATCTGTGATTGCCTACGTCTACAAGAACCATTCCCTGGCTTTTGTGGGCACCAAGAGTGGGAAGCTCAAGAAGGTAAGACCTAACGTGGTCCTCTAACTCAGATTTTCACATTCTTATGGAGATTTGCGTTGTTGCATTGAGTGTGAGCGCAGTTCTTATCCTGAGGTGCATCATCTATTTGAGGATAGAAAATGTTTCAGTTGGCAAAAAATTGTGTTTCACCCTTGAGAGATAGAGCTAATGTGAGAAAAGATAAAATCCTTCTACCAAATTGCTGTTCATCAGCAAATGGATGTTTCTGAAGTCAAACTGTAGACCCAGCCACGGATGGATTTGATGCAGTTTACAATCAACAGATTTTTTTGAGTTCAGACCATTTCTAATTAAGTTGTTGACCACAGGGTATCTGTGCATGCTGGAGAAAAAACGACTGAGGCTGAAGTTTGTTAAGAAACAGGATTCATGCTCTGGAGATCTTTATTCAGAGCAATGTGACTGGGCTGTGATTTCACCACGAGCCCAGCATGGGATTAACGGTTGCTCTGTTTAGGTCAGGCTGGGTGCTTGTACTGAGGGAAAAGAAAGCTGTGTCTTAAACATAATGCTCATTATCGTTCATGGTTGACGTCACACAAACCCGAAGACAATAAAGAATGTATTTATGTTCCTCTCTCTGCATTCTCACTAAAAATATGCCTGTTGCATAGCTCTAGCTCTGTAGTTTGCCACATAAGGCAATAGTAGAGATGCTTCAGAGGCGGAAGCTGGGAATCGTCTACCTGTGGTTTTCTCAAGGCAAGAAGAAGCACTAGAAGGGACATTCTCATGCTAATGATGGACATTGCCTCCATTTCAATACCTGTGTGCCAATCCGACAATGTTTGTCTGAATGCTTAGCCCAGGAGTACTGCAAAATATTGTATGTGCAAGAAGATGGTGGCTTTGTTGTAATAGTGGAGTTGCGTGAGAAGCTGGGGAGGGAGGTTGGGCAGAGCCTTGGGGGTTGGATTCCTCCTGGATTCCTTTTGCAAATAAAAGCTTCCAAGTTGGGAAGAGGAAGGTGCTATGAAAATGTGACCCAATGTGACTCGTGTATAGGATGGACAGGACAGATGGGGGAAGGGAGGGAGTAATTTGCTCACAAATGCTTAAGGAAGGTCTGAAATCTGTGGTTTTGTTCCTCTATCTGTTTTTTCACTTAAAAAGAAAATCAGAGTGGTGAATTCAGATGGCATTGACCCTGTGCTGAGGGAGGTCTGCAAGGGGAGCACGATCCTGCCCACTGGCAAATGTCTCCGGCTTTGTTCAGCAGAGGAAAGGCTGCTCTTGCTTTTGAAAAGAGAAATATAGTTTTTTTTGTTGTGTTTTTTTTTTAACAGTCTATTCAGGCATGTGGAAAAGGAACCAAACTGTTTTTTAAACAGTTGTAATAAAAATAATCTCCTCCCCTGACTAATTAGGTTTTGCTTCCCTGTCATCTGTGATATCATAATAAACTGTTTAGTTCTCCAGTCAGTCTCTTGAGGGGGGAAAAATGGGGTAGCTGAGATCTGAATGGTAAATATCCAAAAGACCTAAACAGTTAAGAATGACTGCTGCTTCCCTGCGCTTGCAAGCTTTTGGTTTTTCTTTTGGCTTCTGGAGAAGCAAACTCAAACAGAGCGCTCTCTTTGCCTTTGCAGGTCACGTTGCAGAATCCAAGATCTGATTCCTTTTAATAGGGGAAAATAGGAGAGAAAGCTTTTAGTGCCTTACAAAGTGTGGTAGAGAGAGGGGACAGCCTTATAGGGTAAAGAATGAGAAGAGGGGAGCTGAACTGGCTGATGTAATTTGAGAAAGCTTCGTTTTATTCCCTTTTTCCTAACGTGCTGAATATTCTGCCTATGGTAGTTACTGCATTGGGTCCATGTGTCAGAACAGAGCTGGAGTCTCGGTCCGAGATCTTCCTCTGTTGAATAAGTCTCCACCAGAGAGGCAAAAGCAAAACGGGGTTCACCTGAACACATATGGTTGTTTTGGGCCAGTTGATCCAGGCTTCTGGAAACCTTCAGTCCCTGCAGGTTCAGACCCATCCGTGCTATGACTTCTGCAATCACTGCCTTCCTCCAGGGCTCCTGGGGGTATCTGGGCTGAGGACACCAGCCTGTTTTCCTCTCTGGATGCCACAAAAGGCTGGTTTGGCACTCAGGATTTTCACTTGATGCTTCTTGGCCCCTGCCAAGACTTCATGGACCTTTTGAAGCTTTGTTTTCCATCTTGGTTCATCAATCAAGTGCTTTTGAATAGGGTGCAAGGGAAATACTGCATTGATATTGCAACTCCAGCATAACCCATTATGTTAACGTGAAGTTTGATTTATGTTTAAAAAAAGATGCCTGTGGGTAAATTGGAATAAGCTTTGTAGGATTAGATGAAACTCCATGTACCAGCGGACAAAGCCCAGGAACTCTCTTTGTGTGGTGTGTTTTGTTTTTTTGTTGCTTTTTTTTTTTGTTTGTTTGGTTTTTTTTTGACTTGCTGGCTCCTACCATGCATGGTATGTACTGCTGTCTGTCCTGGTGTGGTGCAGCTACTCCGTCAAGCTACAGTGAAGTATTTTGGATAGCATGAAGAGAGGAGTTATGAGATTATCTTCAAGATAGCAGGATCTACTCAGTTGTTGGAAGACTCCCTGCAAGAAATTACTAGACGGTTTCAGAGAAACTTTCCTTATTTTTCCTGCAGTTTCAGTCTCTTTCTCTGTGTGTGTATTTTTATACAAAAGTGGCAGACTGTGTATCAGATTTTGATGTATGCAATCCGTGAATACTCTGCAAAATACCCACAGTCATAAAGCAATATCTGTTAGTTGATATATAAATGTCACATATGTCAAAGGAATTTATCCAGTGGCACACACAACTGAAGTAAAATATTGTGCTTTACAGGAACATTTCATTAAAATGAAAACTAGCAGCATATCAGGAATCTGCCCATGTAACCAAGACAACAAAGAGAGAAAGAAAAGGAAAAACCAAGATAGAGATAGGGTAGGAAAAGAGTGAGTGAAACAGAATGACAAGGTTGGCCCCAGCTCTTTCACTGCCCGGGGCAAAATACATTTTGCAACCCTTGCTCATTCACATAGCTACATGTGCAGACCAATGGGAAGGCACCAAATAATGTGCTGTAGAAATACGCCCTCTAATTCTGCTGGCTTGTCCACAGCACAGCCTGGCCCTGCAGAATGAAGATATAAATAGGATACAAATGCAGAGCTACAGAAAAGAAAAATTCCCCTGTCCATATCTCATGTATAGGAATCAGCACCCTTGGATTAAAGGCCTGATGGGTGTTGGTGGCGTCTTGGGGATGGAGAGGGGTGGCCCAGGGATGAGTGTGTTGGGAGTCAGCTGGGTTCAGTTCTTTGCTCTGGTGTGCCTTCACATCTCATTTTCTGTCCTGCAAAGGGTAGGAAATATTTTGCTTGCTCAAAGAAGTTTTGGAGAAAATTAATGCTCTGAAGGTTTTGAGGTGTATGATCATACCAAACAGCAAAACTAGACAAATCAGATGCGATGGAAAACCAGCTCCTGGCCACTTGTGGGCATCAAAGATCCTGCGGTACATTTTAATGAGAAATATTTCATCTTGCAGTGCTTTGGTCAGATCCCAGTATTTGTAATTGCCTCCTGTGCTGGACAGCCCATGGTGTTCCTCGTGCTTCCGTACCACGTTGGGCGGCGTTGCCACAGCTGTAGTATCTACCAGGCTGCCTGGTGGGCTTGGTTGGCAGAGTGAGCTCCTGTGTGGGATGGGAAGGGCTTCGAACAAAGCCCGTGGCTGAAAGTCAATTGGCACCTCTGAATTTTTAGTGATTGTTTTCAGGAGATACGGAAACCTCCCTCACTTCGGTTTAACAAATGTCTGTTTTGTCTCTTTACAACCAGCGCAGTAAACCACTGGGAATGGGAGTTATTCCTGGTTATTATTCCTACAAACCACTTTACTGTAAAACAGCCAGGTGCCAAAATCCACCGAGGTGGTTTTTTTTTTCCTTTGCACACTGTCTCATTACACGCTTAGCTCTTCACACCGGTGGCAGGAGAAAGCTAGAGATGTACCCATGGAGATGCTTTGCATGGTTTTGTATGCTTGTTTTGGATTTTTTTTTTTCGAGTGTGTCTGGCCAAATTATGTGCCACTAATACTTAAGTCATCACTAAGGAAGCGTAGCACTGTTCAGTATTCCTTGTATTCCTTCCCTAGGCATTTAATTTATGGGTCATTGCTTTTGTGCAGATAGTTTCCAGTCAAAGAAATACAACTTACCTGTAATTATTCTGTGTGTAGATGCAGCTGTAAAGGGTGACTTGAGTTACAAATGTCAACCTGGGAACAGCCCTAGGAATTGCACTTCTAACAAAACAAAACAAAACAAAGCTCTTTGTCCATTTTGAAAATGGAGTAGTAGTAGTAGTAGTTTACATTTAGTTGAAACTTCCTCATAAGAAATATTGTTTTTTATTCCATCAAAATATTTCGCTCAAAGCCTTTTCTATGCTAAATTCCTTGCTAAAAACTAATTCTTTCACTCTGTGGCTTAATTTTTCAAAAAATCCTATCAATTTGAGGTCTTTGAAGGGCTTTTTAGATTGGACTGCCATTCAGTGTGAAGGTTTTTCATTCAGATCAGACAGCTCTGAAATCTGGCCAGCACTTCCCACCAGGGATCCACTTCTATTTGGTAGAAAATTCTCAGTGTCGACTAGTTTCATGAACAACCCTCTGGATTACCCTGAACTCTTGAGACTCTGCTTTCTTTGGATCCAGAGACAGAACACTATAGGGAGATGCTTAGATTTGAGAGCTTGGATTTGCAATTCTCATTTTGGCCCATCGCACAGTTGTGTTGGGGAAGGCTGGATTTCTTGGATAGATGGTTTGATTGGAAAGTACATGTAAGTCTGAGCTCCTGCTGGTTCCTGGCCACGTAGCTGTGGCTGCCCTGTCCTATGACTACCCTGAGAAGATGCACCTTGGTCTACAGTACCGTCAGGACTTTTTCAGTAAGGTGACTCTGAAGGACACCC